CCTATACCATTTCTCTTTATGAAAAAGAATCCAGAACATACTAGGGAATTACTTACCTAGATTCAAAATGCAATTAAGGCTAGAAAGTTATGTAATCCAGTTATAGTGAAACTGAAAAGCATAGCACTGACACATTTAGCAAATTCATAAAGAGTTTAAAACTAATCCTGAAATTACTTCTAAGGATCTAAGAAAGATAGGAGCTAAATATGCTTTGAGTATTCATGTTAGTCCAAATCTAACCTCTAAATATCTTGATCGTTTTTCAAAAATCACAATAAAACAGAAAATTTTTTGTCTTGATGTAGTGAAAAATTATGCTATAGGTAATATAAAATCAGAAGACTCTGATCCTGAATCTGACCAAGTACACAGCCTAGTATCTGAGTCTTAGGCTTCATCATTCCAACCTAAAAACAATGAATATAATCTCTTCGAATCTTAGATAGCAGAAATTGATTCAATGTTAGCAGGTTTCTAAAAAAAACAATTATACTCTAATTGGATATCAAAAGGTAGAAATAAATTTTATTTTATTTTTTTAACTATATTATCACACATCAATCTACTTATTATTAATATGAATATCATAAAAGTAATTCTAAAAACACGAAACTAAAAACTAATAATTTTGTTTTGAATCTAGAATAGTTCTTAGAAAAATATGACTTATCTGTTAAGTTCACTTGAGAATAACTAAGTGAACATAATAAAAAGCTTGATGCATCACTATAGAATTAGAATACCCAAAAATGTATTAAAGAGTTCCTAACCAGACAAAAATATAATAAAGTGAAGAAAGAAGCTCTTCTATTTGATAGAGAAAGGAAAAATTAACTTTAAAGAAAGGGCAGAATATTATGTTAAGACTAATAACAAGTTAGATATTTTTCATAATAATATGAAATTGAGATCAAAAAATAATAATAAAAAAGAAGTTATAGCATCTGCCTTGCGTTAATTTCAATTTTGTGGAAAATTAACAAAAGTCAGGATAGATTCTAAAATTATTAATATTTATGCCAAAGATCCAGATCTTATTCAAAGATCTAATAAAATTCAAAAAAAGTGTTGAGAGCTACATGAGCTTTTCGATGAAAACTAATACCTTAATTATTGCTTCTTTATATATTTGTTTACTTATCTTTTGAAGTACTAAAAGTGCGAAAAGAAATTTCTTATTTTTTTTTTGTTCGAAAATATAGCATATATAATATATCACAAAAATGATAACTGATCAAAAGTATTTATCTAATAGTATAGCTAGCGAGTAGGAAGTTATCAGATACACAGAAAATTAGCCTAAATATTTGGGCTAGACAAACAAAATGCATATATGTATAATGTGCTTTCCAGTGAAAATAGGGTGCTAAAAAAACAAATGGATGATTATTATTCCTAATATAATACTTTAGAAAGGAGGTAAAAAGATTGAAGAAAGATATAAGATCCTTAAAAATCGAATTAAAAGATCTAGACAAATGTGTGGATAGGAAAACTGTAATCAACTTAATCTAAGAAATAGTTTTCTCACCAAAGATCAAAAAATGTAAGGGTTTCTCCTATTTATCTGAGTCTTCCAAAGATTCTAATTCAGTTGAGATAATTCAGGTAAAAGATAAAAAGACCATTCCTCATAAGCACCAAATAAAAGTATGATGAAGAAAGGCTAAGTGAATGGTAGTTTAAAGTGATGAATTAGACAATCAGACTGAGTGATAATATATCACTACTAAGGTTGCTGGACGAAACTAAGAGTTTAGACAGACGTCTAAATGGTAAAAGTAAAACTTAGTTAAATTATATTAAAACCTTATTAAAAAATCTGCGAAATTTGGAAAAAGGTAAAACTATATCAAAGCTTATAAAAATGGCGAAACTATATCAAACACTTAGTAAAAATTTAGCGAAACTAAAGGTTTTACCATTTTGCCAAATCCAAAATGAGTTTAGACAAACAACCTTAATTACTACTATTTTAAAATATCAGATTATTCTCTAATACTTATGGATAGGTTTATTTACTACTTTGAATATTATATATCATAATAAAAAATGGTGATTGTGAATTGTGTAGTTGAAGAAAATATTTCTACCGAAGTATTAATTGATACATATACTGATGCTAACTGCATTAGCCATAAATATATTTCTAAATTAGAAATTATATATCACAGTGAAAATAATAACATTAAAATTCTGGATGTAACCTATTCTATATTAGAAAAGGTTAATCTACACATTAGCTTTAATGATAATGAGAAGCATAAAAGCATTGGGCCCAATAAATTTATGGTTCTTGGGTTAGATTAGCTGGGACCTGATTTAATTTTAGGAGAAAGATGATTGCGAAAAAGTAATGCAAGCTTGAATATATGTAATTTGACACTAATAATAGATAATAATTTTGTAATTCCATATTAATTTAGCTAATAGTCAAATCCTCTATCCCTTATGATCAGTCTAACTAATAGTGATCACGCATTATTTTTTTATTAAAGTATAGCAGATCTATTAGCAAAATGTTAAATGATGAGATAAATGCTGAGATAGAAGAATGTTATAATAAATTTATCAAAGAATATGGATCAAGATATAAATGGAATAATGAAGGGATTCCTAAATTTACATCAGAGTGAAAAAGCTGGAAAGATCTTTTTTGTGAAATTAAAATATATTGGAAAACAAAGGCAATTAGGCATTAGATAGAAAAAATATTTAAGAAATTTGTGTATAGTTTGCCTAACATAAGAAATCCAGCAATATTATTTTATGTATTCATATAATCTAATGCTTTTTACCTCTCACAAATTTTAAGCCTGATAGAATTACCATATGATGTTGAGGAACTCTGATGAAAAATATAGCCATATAGTATTGATACAATTGAGATTAAAATTTCTCTTGGTAAAATCTGTAAACCAAGTTCATAGGTTTTCTGAAAATTTGAAATAACCAAAATGTTTTACTGATTTTAAAAATCTTCTAATTATATAAAATGTATACAGCTAATTTACTTGATGAGCTTACTCCTGAACTATTACCATTTATTTTAAAGTATCTTCCAGCATAGGATCCCCTCTTTTTTATCTTTAACACTATAGGAGATAGTCTAACTATTTTTTATAAAATATCTTCTTTAAAATTAGGTTAAGAAAATATGATAAAAGAACAGATTTTATATTTTTTAGTAATAGATAAATCTCTTTATCCTACCCTATTTGTTTGCTGATTATGGTACAGATACGATACTTTTATTTTATGAAAACGAGTTGAGCTAAATGGGGATGATTTACGTTCTCAGTTGAAAAAATTCATAAAATTAGTATGTAAAAAGCAAAAGCCAGTTTATAGCTCAAATTTAACTTATTTAGAAATTTCAAACTACCATTCACTTTCAAATAAAAAATTCAATGACATTGCGCACAAATTCCCAAATATAATTTATTTAGATTTAAAATTTAGCACAGGATTTAATGATAAAATACTAAAATGAATAGCAGAATCATACTCCAATCTGAAGTATCTTAATTTGTAAAAGGATGAGTATATATCCTGTAATTTAGGCATAATAACTGGTAAAGGTTTATATGCAATTGCCCGGTCATGTCATAAATTAGAATATCTAAATATTTCTCATCACACAGATATTTGTGAACTATTAATTTGTAATGTTATTTATCTTTGTCCAAGGCTCCAACAACTTGACCTAAACTTTTGTAAAATTACTGATGTGATTATCAAAAAGTTTGCTAGTTTATGTCTTAATTTAAAATATCTTAATTTGAAAGGGAGTTATAAAATTAGCAAAAAAGTTGTGAATCAGCTTATTTCAATTAATCCAAATATCCATGTTGAGAATTTCGTGAAAACTTTAACATCTTTTGATCTATTTGGGATAGTTAGAAATCATCATATACAGCCCAATAATATTAATTATCAGATTTAGCTCAGAGTCTTCAAAGCCTTTTAGATTTAAGTATGTGAGATAATTTGCAGTGGTATTTCAATCTAGGGTTGCCTGTATAATGCTTTTTTTTTACTAGATTCAAAAAAAGATAAATATTTGAGTTTGTGATAGGTGTTCTCTTCCAAAAAATTATTTTAAGAGAGGAAATAAATTTTACCAATAATTCACTTCATTCATAATTAGCAATAAATAATATTTTTTATTCAGTTTCACAAATCAAATATCACCCTTCTTTCTTGAATGGATTAGAACTTGATGCCTTCTTCCAAAAATATCGAATTGCATTGGAGGTGCAAGAGACTCAGCATCAGTTTCATAGCATTAGCTGGTATAAGGATGTTAAAAAACTCAAAGACATTATTAATCATAATCAGCAAAAAAAGATGCATTTGTCTAGATAATGGAATTTTCTTTATTGAGCTTATTGAGGTATGATATGACCAAAACCCAGAAATTGTCATTCCAGAAAGGATATGAAAAATTAAGGAGTTTGTTTATCTAGCATCCAAAAGTTTTGATATCTTATAATCAATAGTCTTATAATACATACGACTCTGTTTAATTAGCAGATAAATATATTGTGTATCACAGTTAAGGTCCCAATTCTTAGAATACAGGCGAAATCGAATGAATTAAAAAGTATGTTCTTATCGATTATGCCCCATTAGCACAAGTATAGAAACTTTATCATGTACAGCGGGTTAATGCTGTTTGCTTCTCATTCGTAGCTTGAAAGCTTATCACTTGATGATATGTAAAATTTGGTGATGTCAGAGGCGAGTCACGATCTCAAAATTATTACGCCTAGCATCACGTGCAGGTAATGAATTTCGTTCATCTATGATGATCGTGGGTATAAATTTGCTTAGTAATCAAAATGAAATACAATCTGTCAGCCTTAAATGGTTAAATGGAAAATAACAAGTAAGCTAGAATAAATTTGGTTGAACTTATTTTTTTGTTTTCATTTTTTATTTACTAATTTCTATTACCAAAGTACATACGACTGGCCTAACAAACTACACGAACCATGGATGAGAGCGGTAATAACGGAATTCATAGATCCTTACAGGTGAATTTTCACATGAAAAAAAGTAATTGGGAGTACAGTCAGAATTCGATATAACAAACTCTCCGGTTCACTGAAAAAATTCGCCGTCAAAATTTAATCTGTTTGATATAACGACTTTATATATGTTCATAAAAACAAAATTTTAAAAATCGTTTATCGTGAAATTCGTTATATCGCATAGTCATTCTGACTGTAGCTTGATTGATCATGGGCTGTCTTGGGAAATAATAAAAGAAACCTTGAATTTTGAAAGCTAGAGGGTATCATTCGTGATTTAACAAAACATTATTTTATACAGGTTGAACGGAGTTGTAATGCCTTATGGCCACAAGGGCAAGGAGATGACTCCACCATCTGCTCGTTCAATTCTTATAATCACAGTGTGGGATGCAGTAGCCCTTCTTTGGACGTACAGCATAAGTCGACCTCCAAAAGTGAAATGCAATTACAAGGTAAATCCTCCAATGAAGAAATTCGAAAACCAAGTCGCATATCTGGAGAAAATGCAGTTGGTCCTTGTGAGCAAATTACTGGAAATGGGGGAGAAGAAAACTCTTCCAACCACGGTAAATCTCACATTCTCCGCTCGGAAGGGGAACGTCAAGAATTACTTTTTCGGGATATCAATTCGAGGAAAGAGCGGAGAAACGAAAGAAGAGAAAATACAAGCATACAAAACGAACGAACTAGCAGCGGAAGAGAGAGTGAAAGTGATGAAAACTATGTATTTAAATGTCCAAACAGAGAAAAAATTGATAGGTTACTCTCAACCCTGGGGCCATTGTTCAGAGTCGGTACCCTGGAGGGTTCGTCATGGAAAGAAGACTACCCAAAAACACCGTGCTACTTTGTACTCCCGGACAGTGCGCCTAAATGGAGATTTGAAGCCTTCATGTCCCCTTTGTCGTACGATAATAGGTTCGACTCATCTGGCAATAATCCAACCTTGGTAATCGAAATGATCGAGAATGAATCAGACCGTTGTCGTATTGCAAAATCTCTTAATATAGAGATACAAAGCGGAGATCTTCAAAAAGATAATATTTATCAAGACATAATGGATATTGCGCAATGCGGTTTCAATCATATAATTGTTATTGGGAGTTGTTACTGTGACTTAATTTTTCTGGACTGCTATGAACGTGTATTCAGATGGGACGCTATGACTGAAAAATTATGGTTTTTCGGGAATTTTTTCAATGCAGCATCAGAGAAACCAGAGAAACAAGTGCCATGGGGCGTCTCATTAGATGGAACTGTGTGGGAGCTATCTGGTATTTACGCATATTTTGCTTGTTCTTTATCTTAATATAACTAATTTCTTTTCTTTTCTTTTAGGTTCGGATTCGCCAGAAGAATGTAATTCTCACCCCGTAAATGACAAGAAAAAAAGTAAGAAAAAAGGCAAGAATAAGAACCAAATAAAGCGTCATTAATAAAGGATTTTTAAATTTCGTTATGTTTATAATAATCATATTGGGCTAGATAGTTATTGTTTTTATTCTTGTAATCATCAAATATATTTGCTTTAAAAAATAAAAATATGCTATTGTAAATTAACTAACTACTTCGTGTGACAAGCCACTGGTTAGTCGATAATTAAGGCAGTGAAATATATTATTTGATTTGCGATAATATCAAAGAACCCGGAATCTCGCTGAGGTGTTACGATCATATTCTGAAAAATCAAGAACGGATTCCGGAGACCGGGACAAAGTAGAGACATGAAGTAAAATAATATCATGTGAATCGATCATCTGAAATGCGCAGTACGATATCTGCCGAAAGAATAGGGGCTGTGCGACGTAAGATTTTTCCCATATAAGGCACTTTATTCGTATTTTTTTCTATAATTTGTGAATTTATTTGATAATAGAAATATAATATAATACTTTTTGATAATAAGCTGCATTTATCTTTTATGATTAAAATATCTTTTTTTATAATTTTTAATAATTAATCATTTAAGGAATAATATTGCATTCTTATAATTATTACAATTATTATAAATATTAAGTTTTTAAATTACAATATTATATGATATGATTTGTAATAATTTTTTTATATATATTATTTTTATACATAATTAAAATTATTATTAAATTAAACTAAAAAATTTGATTAATTTTTAAATTATGATATATATAGATTTAAAAAAATAGTAAGATTTTAGTTTTTTGTAAATAATTTAAAGTATAATATAATAAATTTTTAATATTTAGTTAGAATATTATAAATAATATATTAATAAATTTAATATTTAAAATATAATTTTAATTTATATTAATTAAATATACAAATTTTTTAAATTTTATTATTAAATATATAATTTAAATATTTAAAATTTAATTATTTAAATACTTTACAAAGTTTTTAATAATATAAAAATAATAAAAATTTAAAAAATTTATAATTATATAAAAAATCTTGATTTTAAATTAATATAAAAGTTAATAATTAATAAAATTTTATTATAAAGATACTACATTTGATAAATAGGTTTAATATGCCTAAAATCAACAAGTAAAATTCATTTTAATTTGAAAGGAAAATTATTAAAAAAAGAATATAAAGATATTTTCACTTTTATAAATTAGCTTAATTTAAGTATTTAGGTCATAATTGATTGAAAAGAATAAAGAATTTTTAATGTGTAAATTCTATTGCAATTCAAAAAAGAAATAAAGGTAATGATCAAAATTCGGATGGAAAAATACCTGGAAAAATTTAATAGATATTATGTTCAAATTTGAATAGGAGAAAATTGAGATGCCAGTTTGAACACAAGACCGGCTATGTAATTCAAAAAGATTTGAAGGACGATTATGCATATAGTATGCCAACTCGTATAAATGATATAAGGAGAGCTAATGTTGGTTATACAAATTGTTGTCAAAGTTTTAATTGTAAATTTTGTTTTTTTACATAAAAAAACTTTTTTTCGTTTTAAAATCTAATCTGTGTATATACATAGTTTATTGATACGATAGTTTTTATATTTAAAACTCAAAATGTAAAAGGTTAAATAAAATTTATCACCGCAGGTAACTTTCTGAAATTTTTTAATTCTTGGAAATATCTAAAAGATGAAATGTATTGAATACTGTACATGTAAAAACAAAGATGCGATGCAATGTATCTCGGATTTTCGCAACCCACTAATAATGGCAAGTATCGTGCCCCACAGACAGGTTAATAGTGTTTATTGTTTTGTTCCTTAATAAGGTAAATGTAAATTAATTAACGTATTAATTAAATTAATTTGATTTTCTTGTAAATATTCTTTGGGAAGGAATTTGTTGAATTTAATAGTACTATTATCACAATTCGATCCTAAAATATTATGTTTAATACAATTACCCAACCCATTATTATTATTAAAATTATTTATTAAATTTAAATATTCTAAATTGGATTTAAATTATTTGGTTGAACAACTGAGAAATGGCTTGATAATTAATCAATATTAAATTTACGAAAAAAGAACATCCAGACACGTCGGAAATTTGTTATGAGAGAAAAGTCTAATTACCATAAGTACTCTCGCAAGATATATTATTAACCCCCTAACCAAACCTAATAATATAATTCTTGTCTTGAATGTAAGATACATGCAGGTTTTTGTAATCTTTACATGAAAATCTTAAATTATCATCGGACTAAAGTTTTATTATGGGGAAATCAGAACATGAGAATTTATTTCGTTAGTGTATCTAAACCTAATTTAGTTACCATTTTTGTGTTTGTTATGATCGCTTGATTTGATTCGTGCATAAATGTGGAAATTATGATAAAATATTTTTTTTGTAATTGTTCCAATTAGAAATCGCATGGATACTGCACTAATAATAAATTGACGTTTAATTTTATTATATCAAAACTATAACCTTCACGAGATTCATATTTAATTTGATTAAAATTATCCTACGCCAAAATCTAATGAGGCGACAAATTAACATGTCGCATTCTGCATAATACTTGGGAACAAGAGCACGAAAGATTTTCTGCCTCCTCAAAAGATTATAAAGATTCAAAAAAAAAAAAAATTCCTCAAAAAAAAAAGTGGTCAATTTGGTAAAATGATAAATGTAAGTTGTACAGAATTTCATTTTAATCGTGTGACATTAAAAAAAAAAGAGGTTATTTGTTACAAAAATTTATGCAATTCATTTCAGGTGTGCAGTTTAAAAGATTTTATTATATATCCGTCGAAATCTATGATACGCTAACATGATGCGATTTAACTAGCGCAAAATGTACTTCAAGGTGTTCAAAGTGTATAATTAAATTTTGTGTAAAAAAATAAAATAAAAATGTAAACGTACTTTAAGTATAAATATTTGAGAGTTCGCTTTAGAAAAAAAAAGCTTTTTTTTACCTTTTTTTTATTATTTTTATTATTTTCACGGTATTCTCTTGCTAAAACCGGTCTTTTAGCACAGTAGAAAATTTATACCTTCCTTCCTTTCCATCATAATCACCCACATATTGTTATTGTCCTTTACATCTCCAAATTCCCGAAAAGAAAAATAACATTTGCCATCATCATTATGCGTCGTTTAAATGTCAACAATAATTATAGCATTAATAGAGAAAGCATTGTAGATTTACCAGATATTCATCATTCTCTTATAATAATACCAGATTCACTATATGACAACTCTGAATTAACTTCAACTGATTCCGCAATTTCTTATTATAATAATAAATCAACACCTAGTTCTTCCATACATGATGTTGTTGAAGAGGAAGATAAAGAAGTAGTAGAGGAGGAAAAGGTTGAAATAAGTGAACAAAATTTAGATGAATCTAAAGAAAGGAAGATAAATATTGATGAAGAAAAATCAAAAAATTTCACAGAGATTGATCTATCCGAAACTAATCCTGAAAAAACGTAAGTGCCTTAAAAAAAAAAAGTACGACAAATTTACCTTATAAATGTCATGTACTTACCATTTTTTTTTTATGATTAGAAATTCTTCCACCTTGGGGAGGCCATCACTTTCAAATGATACAACCTCACTTCCGGTTATAACGCCCCGTTCAAATGATGGAAATGATGGAGATGTCGAAAAATCTATTAAAAGGAAGGATAAACATTTGTCGTGTTCCCTTTTCAATAAACTTGATAGAAAAAAGAAAATATTTATAATTTTATTAATCATAATTATCATAATAATCATAGTTACTGTTATTTTAGTTTAAATCACAACCATTTTTTACTAGTGAATATTCAAATTTTCAGTGTATATAATATTAATTTAATTTAATTGACTTAAAATTTCTCTAAAAATAAAGTTGATTTTGAATAACACACAAAAAGAACGGCTGATTAATTTTTTTTTTTGCGTGACAAATCTGTCGTCGCAGCAAAAAAAAAAGAAAAAATTTTTTGATTGGTAATTCCAAAACTTACAAAAAATACACAAATGTAAATAAATGTGATGTGAATCATATTTTGCATTTCAATAAATTTGTTTTTCAAAATCCGAAACACGAACATATCATTTTCTATCCAATACATTATAAGAAAATATTTTTTCATCATTATTTACACTATCACATGACTACTGTGCTTATTATTATCTACCCTGGACCTAGACCCCCGTATCTAGGATAATATCCTAGACTTCCCAAATTTGATTGGTTCATCATCATTTACCGAGCATAATGGACATTCGTTATATCACGAGGTGATAAAATCAAATGTCGATCTTTTTATATTGTGTAACATTAGATTTTAAAGTAATAAAAAAAGATGCGATATTTTTCAAAAACTAATTTATCGTTACGCAGTTTTTTTTTTCATTAATATG